ACCACTGGGCCCATCACCTCCTGGGAAATAGAAGGGGAAGATATGGAGGCAGTGACAGATTTTACTTTCTTGGGCTCCATGATCACTGCAGATGGAGACAGCAGCCATGAAATTAAAAGGCGCCTGCTTCTTGGGAGGAAAGCGATGACAGCATCTTAAAAAGCAGAGACATCACCTTGCCAACAAAAGTCCGCATAGTCAAAGCTATGGTTCTTCCTTTTAGTGATATATGGAAGTGAGAGCTGGACCATAAAGAAAGCAGACCGCCGAAGAATTTATGCCTTTGAATTGTGGTGCTGGAGGAGGCTCTTGAGAGTCCCCTGGACTGCAAGGAGAACAAACCTATCAATTCTAAAGCATATAAAACGAGTGCTCACTGAAAGGACAGATCCTGAAACTGATGTTCCAATACTTTGGCCATCGCATGAGAAGAGAAGACTCCTTGGAAAAGACCTTGATGTTAGGAAAGTGTGACGGCAAGAGGAGAAGGGGACGGCCGAGAATGAGATGAATGGACAGTGTCATCAAAACTACCAACATGAATTTGACCCAACTCTGGGAGGCAGTGGAAGACAGGAGGGCCTGGCGTGCTCTGGTCCATGGGGTCACGAAGAGTCAGACCTGACTAAACAACTAAATGACAACGAAAAACATACAGTACTTTGTTGAATGAATTCAAAAATAGACTTTTATTCCTCTGTGTGCAAACAATAAGAGCGGAGTGTGATTTTTGCAAGGGCCATGACCCAGTTCCATTACTGTAAGCTGCTAAGACTTTATGGTCATGTTATGTGTTGATCAGATTAGGTCTTGAGCCTTCTGAAAGATAAACTTAAGGTTGGTAGAGCTTTTCTAAAAAATAAATTAAAAAAAGAATAAGAAATAAAAGCTTTTACAGAGATAATTGTTCCACTGAAGATTGTGTCACCTTCCCAGTTATATTTTGCCAGCTGCTTTTTCAAAGAATGATTCTATAGCGATAAGCATTGTTAAACAATTTAAAAATGTTTAAAGAAACTTTAGTTTGCGTATATAGCAAATAATGATAAAAGCTGAAGAAAACAAGATTAATCTAGAAAAGTAGATTAACAACACTGGACAGTGGAAAAATAGTAGCTCTGAATAGAATTGTCTAATTGTTGGTACTTACCCAAAGATTTTCTGGGGAATGTAAGTATGCATAGAAGCAAACCATCAGTTGCTTCAAGTACTCTAGCATGATACTTGGATAATCCTCTGAAGCAGCCTTCTCCATAGTATTACATTCCACATGTTTTGGACTGAAACATGGGCAGCAATAAAATGGATTATGGAAATGGAAGTCCAAAGCATCTGGAGGGCATGAAATTGAGAAAGACTATTCTGAAAAGATCAAATTCCCCTCATATGGTAGAAAAGCCAGTGTGGTTCCTTATTCTTACATGCATTTATTAGCTTAAAATTATTTCTAGATGATGATCAGAAACTATATAAATTTCATAGCAGGTCATTTAGCATTTTAAAGAGTGCATAATTACTCTTTAACTGCCTGTTGGCATAGTTACACTGGCATGCCACTTTTTCCATATATGAGATGATACTTTTGTCTAAAATCTTTAGATTAAAAATTGAGGATTGTTTTTTACACAGAAGTAAGGAGGGGGAAGGGATCAAAACACTTTGGTCCCTGCTTTGCAAGAAAGTGGAGGGGGAAGGCAGGTATCAAAGCGCTTTGATCCCTGCTTTCCCCCTCCACTTTCTAAGCAGGCTTAGCAAGAAAGGGGAAAGCAGGGGCTGAGCGATCCTGCAGCACTTCAATCCCTGCTTTCCCCCTTCACTTGCTCAGCCCCGCTTAGATTTCTTAATTTGGGGTTAGAAAAATGGGGTGTGTCTTATACATGGGAGCGCCTTATACACGGAAAAATATAGTAAGTTGGAACTGGGTACTGGAAATAATTAATTCAAACTGAAACCATTTTGCCCCAGGGAAAGCTTTGGGGAATCTCCAGATAGGGAGAAGGTTTTTTTTTAAAAAAAATCACCATTAGATTGCCATTGCTGCAATCAGGACTACCAACAGTGATCTGGTGGTATGTTCGGGGGGGTTTTAGTATTAAAGGTTCCCACCCACCCACCAGGCTCCCAGAGGCTTCTCAGAGGCAAAAGAGAGCCCTAGAGAACCTTGTAACCTTTCAATTTGTTAAAATATTTCTGGTATCCAAATTCGGTTTAAGCCAACATAAACACACGAATAGGATTTTGCCGAATATCTTTCCAAATGTTCTCATTGATTTCCTGAAAATCCCCCAGGCTTTTCTGTGATCCCATAATTTTAATGTGAATTTTTTATTGAAGAGCAATATTTGGATGAATATTGTTTAAGAATGTTGTATTAGAATTATTCCTGGTTGATCTTGTTGGTGTTTTGTTTGAAATGAATAAACTTACAGAAGGGTTTAAAAGTTCTTCTGGATACATTGTGTAGATTATTCTTGCTGATTTAAAGCATGGTTGCTTTGAGAAGTCTTATGTGCATGGAGGATTTTTTTAAAATATATTTCTGGCTTTTCTGTGGTAGTTGGCCCTACGCCCAGGATCTTGAACCTACTGCTCTTGCAGGCTTCAGCGCTCATTGTGTAAGGACTGGGAAAGGCTTCTGCAATTTCCCTCGTTAATGTGGGTGACATCAAGGGAAGAGCTCTAGATGAAAAATTGCAGCGTGGAATTGAACAGAGCAGCTTTTCAAAGAAGCATTTAAGTGCGACAATGTGAAAGATACTTGCTTCAGCTTCTAAACTTGTTTGTTTCAAATAAAGATCTTGCAAAAAGGACCTTCATTTCTAGAAAATACGAACCAGCTTTTTCTAACCTGACCATGCTGTTTGGAAATGATGAAGTCTCTAGCATAGCATATATGTACAAAATGAGGTGGAGAAAGACTGTTGTACACCAATACAACCAAAATGAACTAAATGAAAATACTGTTTTCTGCAAGCATAGTTACATTCTTGACTGCCACTAGATTTTTTATTGCCTCTTTTCAGTCAGAAGTTGGTTTAAAAGTGTGAAATTATTCCTAAATTCATGAATTCTTATGTGAGTGTCTTGGATTGCTCTGTTTTGAAGTGCTAGTTGCTGTTATGAAATAAACTGCATATTCTAAGTGTGCGAGAAAGGTAAATGTTTTCCATTTTGAAACATTTGTAATGAACAACACATTTTGAGCTATTTACTTACTACATTTTAGTTTCTTACCTATTGTGTAGGTACGTGTGTTTGAATGAACAGAGGAAGTATAATCATGCTATAAAAGTAAAATAGTGATGACTTATAGTGACTTCTTTCTAGAAAATGAAGACTTTAGCATGCAGAAACAAGAAAATCTCACAACCATTTAAGTTGGCTTTGGGAATGCACTTTGTACACTGCTTTGTATTCCTTATTCTGCTATATGGCATAGAGTTGTGGATCTAAAGAAAGACTACTAAAGAAAAGATAGAAGTAATTGAAACATGAATTTATGACCAGATGCTAAGAATTTGTTAGATCCAAGAGGGTTGCCGAAAAGAAGTACTAAGGGAAATGAATAAATAGTAACAGGTGAAAAAAAATACATAAAATGAAGTAAGCTAGAGTACTTTGGCCATGTAATAAAAAATTAGAAGTACAATTTGTAACAGCTGATCGTTCAAAATTAATGGGGAAAGAAGTGCAGGAAGCAAAATAACTTATTGGCTGAAGAACTTGGAAACTGGTTTGGATGTTCCACACATCATTGTTCAGTCCTGTGACATCTGTGATGGCATCTGACCTATAGTAGGAGAGGTACTACTAGTAGTAAGATTCTGATATCCCACTCAGTAGATGAGGCCCAAGCATATGAAATCATACTGAATAGTAAAACTCCAATCAATTACTGTTTTGAACATTTGTTATCTTTTTGAGCCACGCTTCTTGAAAGGGCACATGGCTCTGAAAAGTAGGTTGCAGATAAGTATATAAATGAAACTTCTGAGTTTCTTCAGGTAACTTTGAACATGGGTACGTATCATTCACATTCATAGGCAAAATTAATGGTTTTAATATAGGGAATCAGTGATTTGGGGGATGTCTGTTTCAGCCATGGAAACAAAGAAGTATTTTCCTGTCGAGGAATAAAACTGGCAGTGGACTGGTTTTTGGAAAGAGGACACAACGATGTCACGGTGTTTGTGCCAGCATGGAGAAAAGAACAGTCCCGACCGGATGCTCTCATTACAGGTATATTGTGATCTGCCTTAATCAACTTGATTTTTCAAAGCTTGTGAAATTATTAGTACAGTTGTGCCTTGCTTAATGAGGATAATCTGTTCCAGCGAAATCGCTGTAGAGCGAAATCTTCGTTAATCGAAATAAAAAATCCCATTGAAACGCATTGAAAACCCGTTCATTGCGTTCCAATGGGCTGAAAACCTCACCGTCCAGCGAAGATCCTCCATAGGGGCGGCCATTTTCAGTGCCTGTAAAGCGAGGAATCCGTCCAAAAACACAGCGGGGAGCCATTTTACACAGCGGGCGGCCATTTTGAAACCGCCGATCAGCTGTTTTAAAAACGTCATAATGTGAAGAATCTGTTCCCGAAGCAGGGAACCAATCATCGCAAAGCGGATTTTGCCTATTAAAACATTGTTTTGCGATCGCAAAACAGTCATTATATAGCGGTTTTGTCGTTTAACGAGGCAGTCGTTAAGCGAGGCACCACTGTATTGGTTTTTTTAATCAACTGAACAAATGTTTTCATGAAACTGTTATTGCAAGAATACTGTTGATGGCACAATAGTGTATGGAAGTTTAAAGTTTTTAGTCTAAAATGGAGGTTGGTTTCTCTTAAATGTGGAGGATGAATATCACAAGTCTAGCTGAGATAATTCAGTGAGTTAGTTATCTGGCTGTGGAGCCAGAGGGTTAGGAGTTCAGTTCTCCACTGTTCACCCCAAAAGAGCCAACCTGTATGGCCTTCAGCAAGCTGAACAATCCCAGGATGCTCCCAGAAGAAGGGAATGGTAAACCGCTTCTGAGTAATCTCTACATAGAAAAGCCTGAAAAGGGTTGCCATAAATCAGAACTGACTTGAGGGCACACAGTCGTTATTACAGGCACTCCTCACTTAACAGTTTACCAGTTTAACAACTGCTAGGAATTACGACTAGTAAATGCTATTTGCATCTTCACCACACCCCTTCTTAACTGCATGTGATTTAATACTCCTTTACTCTTCCCTTGTCCACGCATTCACTTACGACCTAGTAGGAACTAGCAACGGACCTTGGTCATTAAGTGGAGTGCTTGTATTAGCCATTACAGCAAATTGAAACCTGCATGAACGGTCAATTATATTTCTTGTGTGCAAGTGCTGTGGATAAGCAAAAGGAGATGGTTGTCCAAGGGCTTCTGGGTGATGATGCCAGAATGCTAATCAAGATGGATTTAGGGTCCGATCCTGTATAGAGACTCAAGAGTGTTCCTTTTCTTACTGAATAAAAACAAATGAGATAGCTTCTGATTTAAGTATTCAAACAAATACTTAACAAAACTTTTGTTGACAAATTTGTCAAGAAGAATTTCCCTTTGAAAGATTAGTTTTCCCTGCTCAAGCTCTTAACTTTGCTAATTTTGATGTGAAATCTAATAGAAAACTTAGAGGAATGGAAAGCAGCAGTTCTTTGTAATAAATATGAGCATTTTCTCAAAAGATTAGGAATATAGTTAGAAAGTATGGGCCCTTTTTCAGTTTTCAGGAATCTGTTAATAGCATTTGTGTTGATGAATAAATCTGTCAGCCCTAGTCACTTTTGCATGTTTTATTTTTGTAAATCTGTTCTCATTCCGCATTCATTCCTGTGTTTTTAATCCACATGGATATCACAATTGATATAAAATAAGGGTTACATCTGTTGTTTCAGCATCTGCTGTAACAGCAAGTGCCAAGTTCAAACTCTGGCATTTCTAGGTAGGCTAGAAGATGATCAATATAGAGCATAGAGAATGTTGTGCGAGGCAGACAACATTGTGACTCAAAGTAAGGCAGTTTTGTGTAAATACACATTTTAATGTATTTTACTTCAGATACTTTATCTTACACTTTTAGCTGTAAGTGGTTGAAATCCTGTTCACGCAGCTAAAGCCACCAAAAACGGCTGGTATCGTCAGCAAGGGGCTATTTCCAGCAATTACACATTTCTTTTTTCTGCCCCACAACTCCAGTGTAATCCCTCTCAATGTTTGGGAGCTGTGGATGGGAGGAGGAACTCTAAATCAGTGGTCCTCAACCTTGGGCTTCCAGATGTTCTTGGACTTCAACTCCCAGGAATCCTGGCCAGCAGAGCTGGTGATGAAGGCTTCTGGGAGGTGTAGTCCAAGAACATCTGGAGGCCCAAGGTTGGGGATCACTGCTCTAAATAACCAAAAATCACTGCTACCAAGATGGTTTTACTGGTCATAGCAATTTTCAGTAATCTGGCAAATGTTGAAAGTCAAATGGATACTTTGCTGTTGATCCTGTCATTCATCAGACCAGTATCTTGCAGGATTAAAAAGTGGAGAGCAGTAAAAATGTGATTCTCCAGAACGTGTTAAACGTCAGCTCTTGTCAACCCTAACTAGCATAATCAATGATGAGGATGCTGGGAATTTCAGTTGAACAACTCCTGGAGTTTTGCCCTCTCTTAGTTATCTTGCTATTTCTTGCAAGCCAACCTGGTAGTATTTTCCTCCTGCAAATATATATATATGCATGCAATACCTACATAAGAGAAATTGTTACATCTTCAGATAAGAAAATGAATACAGTATACAGTATCGGAATGAGCTGACGCAGGACTGTAAGACTTCTTAGAAGCTTTTGTAATTACGGAAGTCCTTTGGATATTAAGATTTCCCCAGACCTTTAGAACCTTGCCTAAGGTCACAATTTCTGTAATTTTCAGACTCTGGTGATCTTATTTTGAGTTGGTTGAAACAGTTGGGAAATAACATGCCCATTCTTTCAGTTATATCTTGTGTTTGTATTCCTGTTAGTTACAACATATCATTTTTCAGAAATGAAACATTTAGAAATCAAATGGTTTGTCTTCAAAAGGTCCGAGGGCTTCCACAAGCTCCCATAGAATTTCCTTCATTGTTAAGAAGCTTTGGGGGACATTAAAACTCTAGTTTTAATAGAAATTATTTATTTATTTTTTTATTTACAATATTTTTTAGCCGCACCATTGCCAGTGGCTTCTGGGCGGCGTACAACATTAAAACCTAAAAACATTAAAAACATTTTAAGAAACAGTATAAAATACCATATATTAAAATATTTCTTAAAACAATTAAAACATTAAAATTAATTAATTAAAATGCTGGGTGAACAGAAAGGTCTTTGCCTGGCGCCGAAAGGCCAAGAGTGTCGGAGCCAGGCGGATCTCTCTAGGGAGGGTGTTCCAAAGTTGGGGGGCAACAACCGAGAAGGCCCTATTCCGACATGCCATCCCCTTCACCTCTTTCAGGGATGGCACCTTCAGAAGGGCCTCCTGGCCCGAGGAGTTGATGACCTCCAGGATCCAGGTGCAAACTCCCCTGGCAGATTTCTTTATTAGCCATGATGGGCAAGGGTCGAGTTGTGTAGTGGTGGCACGAACCGATCCAAATTGGAGGTGATATGTATGCATGCTTAATGACAATTATACAATTGATCCAGGAGAATATATTCTGTTCAGTAGAAAAATAAACACTGCCCCCCTAGTTTGTTTATCATTCAAATGGGTAATCTGTGAAACCAAGAACACTGTATTAATTACTAGAATTAACTGTGGTCATACTGTATGTGTAAGGATGATAATAGAGTGTGGAGTAAAAGGCAGCTTATTGTGTTGTTTATGTACTGTAATGTACTGTATTGCTGGATGTTAGGTCTTTGGTTTGAGTAGAATCTTTCGTAAATGGTGTTTTGGATTGAAATAATCTTAATCTGATGGTTGTTGTAGGTTTTTGGGCCATTTGGCTGTGTTCTTAAGGTTTTTCTTCCCAACGTTTCGCCAGTCTCTGTGGCAAAATGTTAGAAGGAAAAACCTTAAGAACACAGCCAAACAGCCCGAAAAACCTACAATAGCCATTGGATCCCGGCCGTGAAAGCCTTTGAGAATGCAATCTCAATCTGACTTTGTATATATGTTATCTGCTCTCTTGTAACAGAGTGAACTGAACACAATCTTGACTTCTTTTCAGTGTTTCACTTCTTTCTTTCAATATTTCTAGATCAAGAAATCTTGCGCAAATTAGAAAAAGAGAAAATTCTGGTGTTCACCCCATCCCGTCGTGTTCAGGGGAGAAGGGTGGTATGCTATGACGACAGGTTCATAGTGAAGTTGGCTTTTGAGTCTGATGGTATAATTGTGTCTAATGATAACTACAGGGACCTAGCTAATGAAAAGCCAGAATGGAAGAAGTTCATTGATGAACGACTGCTGATGTATTCATTTGTCAATGACAAGTAAGTACCTGTAGTTCCGTTTGCCTGCTTACTAAAAGGTGACTTGAAAGGACCTGGGTACATATTATAGATTGTAGAAACAGTCACGCTCTCACACATGCACACATAGTAACATTTCTTCACTTGTGATTGTTTCTGTGAAGGTCAAGTTTTTATAGTATTTGTCCTGGGCAATTTTAGGATGAGAACAAGGACCTATTGGAATGAATAGTCCTTAAATGCCATTTTTGTAATATAAATTTAATTTATTTAATGGAACTAGAAGATCCATGCAGGTTTGAAGCTCTAGTTGTAATTCTTCTGAACTTCTTCTTAGGCAAATGGATTGACCCTGTGCTACTATAGTGTAGAAACAATCTCATGCCCAATGAGGTATAACGGACACTTCTTCCTGGCAAGCAGTTTAGAGCAATGTAACTATGCCACAGTTGTTTCTGAAAGCAACTATAATAAATCATAACTTCAGATTCTTCAAAGACTTATTTAACTGGTGATAGATTTTTATATCCAAGACTGTAAGACAAATCCACCAAATCTTGATGGTTGAACTGGCTATTTGTATACTAACATCAATTGTAAACTACCTAATACACCATTCTGCTTTAAGAAGCTGTCTAATATGGAAAACCAAACACTTAAGCGATTTCAACAGCTATAGCAGTATTGGGGGCTATGAACATAATGACAAAAATGCCAAAACCATTAGAAAATGAGTAAAATCTATTTCAGTGTGCCTTGTACATGATCTTAAACTGCCCAGTTCATTTAACACTGGCAGGTGGCAGAGAGGCTACAATCCAGATTTAATTTTTGTTACCATAGTGAGTTTATAGTTTAGCAGTGCATTAAGATCCCAAGCGCTCAGCACAAAACCATTCTATATCAGATCTGCTCAACCATTCAACCTTAATTTCTATATGATTCTGTAGGAGGTATAGTTTCAAAAAGCCAACTCAGAGAAGTTTGCAACAATGCTAGACATAGCTGTGCTTCATATTGCCCCTCAACCAGAGAAATATGATCAGTTTGTAGCTTCCATTTTGGAATGCTCTTGTCCCTCCATTCCAAGGGGGTGCCAAACCAACTAAATCCCAGGACTCACTCCAGAAACACATGCTCAATACCTAAATTATATTTTGCACTTTGAAGATAATCCTTTTAATAAACACACCATAAAAGCTGGGAAATTTTTGATCTCAATTGTTGTGGAATCACAATGTCTATATAGTGTTATAGTTTCTGTGCTGGATAGACACTATAACAACTTGACATGAAGCAGCCAAAAAGCTTGGAGACCTCTAGAAAGAACAGTGATTCAAACAAAAGCACACTGTATGCAAATATAACTCCAAACCAAGTAGCACACCAGCTGCCTCTGGCAGGAAAGGCCAACCAACACATAAGAACAAATAAAACATCAAAGTTATATTCAGAGTAAACACAATGACCTTTTCACTGCATTCATATTGGCAGAACTAGAGGAAGCCATAAGAAGATTTAGGAATAGCAGAGTGGTGGTACACAATACCCAGATCAAATAAATTAAACATTTTTGGGCAAAACACAAGGAAATAGTTCCTTCAATAACTGCTGGACAAGCAAACAAATCTCAAAAAGACAAAAGTAATTGCTATACTGAAACCAGGAAAAGAACCATCGGTCCGCAGCTGCTACCAGCCAGTCTCCCTGCTTTACCACTTATACAAAGTATTCAAACAAATGATATTAAATCATCTAGTCAACAGAACAGTCTTCCATGGGGAAGAAGATCTTTTCTTATATTATAAAAACAACCAGCTGAAACCAAACCCTTTAAAAACACAGGACTGTGCCTTCCACTTAAATAACAGAGAAACAGAAAGGAAACTCCAAGTTATCTGGGAAGGCCAGATTTTGGAACAGTGTCCTACTCTAAAATATTTGAGCATCACTCTGGGTCTAACTCTATTAAAAATGTCTATAAATACCAAACAGAAAGTTGCTTCCAAAAATAATGTACGTAGGGAACTGGCTGGGTCAGACGGGAGCACACCCACAAACAATAAGAACGACAGTTTTGTTCCTATGTTGCTCCACAGCAGAATATGCTAGTGCTGTATGGTATAAATCAGCACATACCAAACAAGTGGATGTAGCTGTTAATGAATCATGCAGGATTATTACTGAATGCCTGAAACCTACCCCCATTGACTATTATTTAAACAACATTGCTCCTCTGGAATTATATTGAGAGGTGCTAGAAAATATGAATGAAGTAAGATAACATAGCACCAAACCTATCCCCCTAGCTAATGGCTAAAATCAAAGTTTTCTTCATGCATCTCAGTCTACATATTAAATGAGAAGAGACTAGGCTAACTAAATCTATGGAGAGCTAAAACAACACACCTTGCCAAATGGATGAATGCTGAAGTGTGTGTCTCCCATCAGTACAAGATTCTGGCTGGACCATCTGGAAGACTCTTAATAGACTTTGAAGCAAAGTAGGAAGATCTAAGAATAATCAAGTAAAATGAGGCTACTTGAATACAAGACAGATTTTCTGGGAATGTGGAGAAATCCAATCAATGCAGCATTTATGTGCATGCAATTTATTCCCCACCATGTGTACTAAAGAAGATCTAATACAGTAAATGGCCAAGGTAATGCTATTGAAGTAGCATGCTTCATTTTAACATTTTAAATTTATTTGAACTTTATATTTTTTTATATGTCCATAATTTTAAATTGTGCACTGCTCATAAAAATAAAGACTGAGTAATCTCCGAGAGCAGTTTGCTTTGTTCCATTAAAGAGAATATCTAGTCATTTCTGATAAATACTAACTAGCTAGGTTTTTGACATACACATAAATATTGACTCACGAGCTTCAAAATTCTGTGCAGAGCTCTACAGACTGGAAAGAAGATTTGACAGGGAAACTAGTGCAGTAACATTTCATGTTAGAGTATTCAGATCTTTACAGTAAAGTTGCAGATGTTGGCTTTGAAAAATACTCTTTTCAAGGAAATTCTGTATAATATATTTTGTCAGTAGTTAGTATTTATGATTCTGAATTCAGATTTGACTGAGTTGGGTCAAAAGAAACTTATAAACATGATAGGGAAGTCACTTATGAACTCAAAATGTATCTTTGAGACACAGAGCTAAGTAGAGAGACACATGGTACCTATGAGATGCAAGTCTAATTTGGCATGTACTCAGTTGGCAGTCCTTGTTAGGGTTCACGCACTGCCCTTCTATCCAGCATCTGAGTGCAAGAGCACTCTTGCCTGTGCAAGAGCTGATTTATGCCGCTGTTCGAAATGTGGAAAAATCTCAGCCCCTGCATGGAGCACCAGCCTCACTGTTATTTTCAGTGATTGATAAAAAGAAAGACTGTGTTCCTTTCACACACACTTTCCTGGGCAAGTTGGTGTCTGAATCCGTCCACTAAGTGCAGTGATCTGCAGTAAATAGATCATTCACTGCTGATCACTGCAGATAGTGCACTTAGTAGTAGGGTACTTAGTAGTAGTGTTTAGTGGACTTAGTTCTAGTAGTGCTTAGTAGTAGTCAAATTAGAATCAGAAACTTATCAACAGTCTCTGATCAACAGGCAATCAACATAGATTTTAGATCAAGAAATGGGGATTTGCTAGCCCTGTGCCTCTCATACAGTAACTCTTCTCAGATGAAAAGAAATGTATCTGAACAGGTGAACCACTGTTGTTGGAAGTTATCTATGAGAGAGTCTTCATTTTCCAGGGCTCTGCCTTGAGTGGATATTTTCCATCAACTAAGGATGTTTATTCTGTTCAGACCTGTTGCTTTTCACATGAACAGAGCTGCAACAAAACATTCTGTATTATTTTAACTCTTATGTGGGAAACTTAAATAGGACTTCAGTCTCATTGATTTATGTCTCATTGATTTCTAAGTACAATTAAGGATGTATTATTCTTATTCTCATCTAATTATCTCACACATTACTGCCTAAAATCGCTGTACATTTATTTCAGCTGTAAAACATAGATCTGGTTCTGTGGGCTCTTCTTCTTTTAGGATATTGTGCAGAATACACATGAAACATGAGAAATATCTCAACTTAATTATTTTATTTTATACTCTGTAGGTTTATGCCTCCTGACGATCCTCTCGGCCGCCATGGCCCAAGTCTGGATAATTTTCTACGGAAGAAACCTGTTGTGCCAGAACATAAGAAGCAACCGTGTCCTTATGGTAATTTTATTTGACTGAGCTGTGTATTTTCAATAAATGATTTGACTCTCTGTAAAAAGCTATTGTAGGATCTCATTAGATAATAGGTTTAATCTAGATTATGTCCCATTGGAAGACAATCCCAGAAACAGAAAGTATATTTTGGGATCTGTGATCCACAAAGCCAATACAGTTGAGTGGTTACTATGTTGTACAGATGTAAAGTAGAATCCCTGTTTAGCCAAGAATGCTGTTGGAAGTCACATGACACTGTTCTGCAGTATACCTATGTTCATCATTTAAAAAATGGAATGTTGCCCTAGCCAAAGAAGAAGGAGTAGTTTTGTTTTTTGTTTTTTTAGGCTGGATAGAACAGCAATTGATGAACTGACTGGCTGCTCTGAAATTGTGTGTGTGCATTCATGGTGTTCAGATAATGATGCCATTTCAGACTTAACTGCAAAACATTTAATTATCTTTAATGCTTTGTCCATTATCTGTCATTTGGCACGTTCAATAACTTGCTGTTTTATTTTCAATCTTTTTCCTAATCATTCCTTTGCAGTGCTGCAGAATTAAATTATCTCTCTGTTGTCTGTCTTTCTTCTTTGCTTGTTTACATCGTGAAATGACAAATGTATACAGGGAAGAAATGCACTTACGGACACAAGTGCAAATATTACCATCCGGAAAGAGGAAATCAGCCTCAGAGGTCGGTAGCTGATGAACTTCGTGCCATGTCTAGGAATACAGCTGCCAAAGCTGCTAGTGAAGGAGGACTGGTGAAAAGCAACAGTGTTCCTTGTAGCACTAAGATGGATAGCACTTCAGATCTTAAGCGAGCTGCTCCAAAGAGGCAATCAGATCCTAGTATAAGAACTCAAGTCTACCAAGACTTGGAGGAAAAGCTTCCCGCCAAAAACAAATTGGAAACCAGGTCTGTACCTTCTTTAGTTAGTATACCAAGTACTGTTGCTGCAAAACCCCAAAGTACTGCACCTTTAAGCAATGGCCTTCCGTCTGGAACTCATTTCCCACCTCAGGATCAAAGACTACAAGGACCATATCCTCCAGTGATGATGGCTACCAAAAATCATGGAACGCCAATGCCTTATGAGCAGTATCCCAAATGTGAATCTCCTGTGGATGTAGGTTACTACTCTATGCTGAATGCGTATTCAAACCTAAGTCTGTCTGGTCCACGAAGTCCTGACAGGCGATTCTCTTTGGACACAGATTACAGAATTAGTTCTGTAGCCTCTGATTGTAGTAGTGAAGGGAGCATGAGCTGTGGCAGTAGTGATTCGTACATGGGCTACAATGATCGATCCTATGTAAATTCTCCTGACCTCCAGTTGGAAGAGAATTTAAAGTGCCAGCATATGCATCCCCACAGCCACCTTAATTCCCAGCCCTTCTTGCAAGGCTACCATGATACACTAACCCGAGTTCAAAGTTACAGTCATGAAGAACCAAAGCATCATCACAAACCTCCACTTCCATACATGGCTGTACACCTTCAGCATCCCAGTATTGGCGCTCGTTCTAGTTGTCCTGGTGACTACCCTGCTTCTCAGAGTTCACAGTATGCAAAGAGTGTACATCCAGGGAGAACCCTTGTGTCTACACGAGTAGACAGTATATCAGACTCACGTTTGTATGACAATTCTCCACTCAGACAAAGAAAACCATACTCTGGCCAAGATGGACTCAGCAGTTGGGACAGGCCAGGCTATGGAATGGATGCATATGGCTATCATCAGACTTACTCCTTACCCAATAACCCTACACAGCCCTGTTATGAACAGTTTGCCTTCCAAAGCTTGCCTGAGCAGCAAGATCAGCCTTGGCGGATACCTTACTGTGGAATGCCTCAAGAACCCCCAAGGTACCAGGACAGTCGGGAGAAAGTCTATGTAAACCTGTGCAACATTTTCCCTCCTGATCTTGTGAGAATTGTTATGAAAAGGAATCCACACATGATAGATGCTCAGCAGCTCGCTGCAGCCATTTTAGTGGAAAAATCTCAGCTAGGGTTTTGATGAAAGGATGATGACTGTGGTGGTGATGATGCATCTTTGTGGTGTCTGTTAGTTCCGTTTCAGCTGTAATGCTGAGGGAGGTTTGCTACAATAGCATTTGTGATCTCCTTCTCAGCAAGGAGGTTATATAGTAATCCATTTATGTGAAATACTGTGCCATGGAATCTATATGTTACAACCCCATGCATTAGAAGCAGCAGGCTTGCTATAAAGGTTCGTGTAATTTTTTTAAAAAAAGAAAATTATAACTAGAAGTTCTTTCCAGTATAATGTATCTGTGAATTCCGAATAAGACTCTTTGGTGCATTGAGGGTTTTATATGCAGCACTTTTAAATATTATTACATGTTTGTTAATTTATTGGGTATTTTGTTTTTCAAGTGCAAAATGTTTTTTAAGCAGCAAAGTGAAGTGAATTTTGTGCACCAAACATTTTTAAGCCAAGCTTATTAAGAATTGTTTTGTTTTCTTTGAAGTTAAGTTATTTAATTTAATTGTGTGATTTTTTTTTACTATAATCATTTTATTTATAGAAAACAAAGGTCTCCTGCAGCACTGATTTTATTTTTTAAGCAATGTGTGAGTTACCAGTTTTAACAGAGAAATGAGTAACAATATATTAATACCTTAAAGTATGGCACTTTTTGATTTGTTTGGTTTTGATTTTAATTGAAATTATTTGTTGATTACTACTGATTATGGTGCAAGCAAAAGCAATCAGTGGAAGAGAAAACTGCTATTATTAATTTATTACATAGAAGGCAAAAGCCTTATGTATAAGATTTGGAGATAAGCTTATACAACTCATAACCATCTGAAATTAAGCTGCCAGTATATCAGTTTAGGTAACAGCCTTATCCAGCTGATGTATACTTCCATTCCTCAGAAATGGCAATGACATTGAGATTTATTTTAAGAATGTCTCTTGTGCAGGTATACTGGACAAAATGGTTTTGGTTGTGTGTGGGTTGTTTTTTTATATATATATAAAATTACTTGTTTTAAAAGGAAACTATTTGTTCTCAATGCAACTTTTGTATATAAGTGACTGTCTATTTTTCATGCTATTTATCAAGGCTGGCCTGAAAGGTTTAATGTTTTGTGTTGGAGGATATGCAACATTTATTAACTGCACTGTAGTTATAGTATTATAGTCAAGAACAGTCCATTCTTTCTGCAAAATGTCGGCCAGGGTCCAGTCATGGTGCTATCCTGACAAGAGCTGTTTCATCATCAGAACTGAGATTTTAGCAGTTCCTCTTCCCATGGATCCTCAAAATCTGCTCCAGAAATATGGGAAACTCTCCAGAGCAAATTTGTGAGGTTTGTGAAAACTGTGAGGAGGCGCATCAGCTGAAGTACATGAACACAACTTTGGAGCCTGGCCTGTGTAGGTGTTCTTAAATTTGTCTGTCTGGCCTGTTGACTTACACAGGCCTGATTCTTGCCAGAAACAGCACCACCGTAGAAATGAACAGGATTGTCTCTTTGAGTATTAGTAAGGGATATTTCTGGTTTTAAATTGTGTGTTCTGCCATTTCATTGAAAATGTAATTTTATGTAGATAGACTAGTAATAAATCTTGACTTTATAGACATTGTAGTCAGCTGCTTATAGACCAGGATTCCCTGCAAAGCAGAACACTGTGACGATTTCCTAGTTTACAGTATTGTTGCTGATAACTGTGTGTGCAGCTACAGCATGATAACCCTGTAGAACCAGAAAGTACCTTTTACTGTTGATACAAATTGTATCTTTAACTATGAAAACTATTTTGATTTATACATGTGACTTTAAAAACGCACACACAGTTGTGTAAAGATAGTTTTAGACTTTTGGGCAACATTTTATCTCTATTTTTTTAAAAAAATGTAGATTTTTGAAACCAACACCTGTGTACAGGCAAACTGTTGGGCCAAAATCCATTTGAAGCATAACAGTGTGTGTAACGGCAATCATGCAAACAATTTCCTTCTTTCTTGGGCTTCCAGTTATAGGTTCTATTGTGTAACTGTAGGAGGACTTGTGTGTGACAGACAGCCAGGGAAGCTGTTTGCATTACTTGTGCAGTTGCCTTCATGCAGTCATGTAAGTAAATGGGATTTTGACCACAGATTCTTACATTATACACGTTTCCCCACTATTTAGATTTTTCCCCTTTTCCTCTAGAAATATTTCAATAAATCTTGTAAAATGCTGCCTGAAAAGAATGTCCAAGCACCTTTTGAATAAGAAAACATTTTTCACTACTTGTACAACACCATGTGTTGCAAGAAGTAGGATTTTGGTATACAGTAAATGCTCCTTCAAAGCATTGTGCTTATAGATATATCCAATAATCTGAACCATGTTCAGCAACTTTAATTCAATATCACTCTTCTTGTTGACTAATGAAAAAGGAACTCTTTTCTCTTAACCCAGCCTTTCCTGACCTGGTGCTTTCCAAACATGGCAGAGCATGAGTGAGCTTATGGGGGCTGTAGTCCAACATATCTGGATGATACCAGATTGAGGAAATCTGAGTTAGATTTTTATGCCCTCCTGAAGTTGTCATGTTCTGTTCTGTCCATAAAGGAAAATATATTTCCCTGTCCATTTCTTTCCTTCTTCTCTTCAGCTCATTGTTTTCTTTCTGTACAAAAGAACCTGAGTATTTCTTTGCAAACTCCCTTCCCCATTAAAATGAATGAGACTCGCACAAAAATATGTTTGTTGCAATGAGCTTCTGATCATTTATGGTGAACATTTTCCACAAGCAATTGTTTATGGCTTGTTGTGTGTTGGTTGTGGTTTATGCTGTTAACTTTGAACTTTTATGATTCCTAAGTCCATTATTCATGTCCTTTTCTAAGGTTTAATAGGGGATCCTGTCACTGTGAGTGCAAAACACAGAATCATACATTTTACAGAACAAAATTGTTTCCTATGTAGATTCTCTGTTAGCTTGCAGTCTGAGACGTGATCACACCCTGTAGACTCTGAAAAGGGATTTGATTGTGCACTGTGTGCTACAATGAAGTAAATTTCTCCCTTATGGTGGAACTAATTTAAATAATACCATACACAGATCTGCAGAAATACAGAGCCCAAAGCTTTTTTTCAGTGTCGTCCTTGATTGCTGACACTCTGTAAAAATCTGATGTTAGAAGAACAACAACCCAGAGCTACACGGTATCACAGGAGCTGTTTGCTGCTTCTTGACTTTATCAGACACTCCAGGTCTGCCCTCAGTTTTCCCTTTTCCACAGAAGAAATAGCTGATCTGGTCGATCCACAACTCTTCCATTACATGACCTAAGTAGATCTGTTTTTAGTTCCTCTCTTTTTGTCATTATGTTCCAAATGACAGTTCAAGTGCAACTTCTAGAGCAAGGTTGACGTGCCTGAGAACATCTAGATGTCATCAGAACTGCGTCTTCCTTGAGTGCCCACTCCTGTTCTCAGATTAAACTTTTTTAGTTTTACAGAAGTGGTATGCAACTATGAACCAGTATTGCTAAGGAGACACCAGATAATGTATGTCCATTTTTTAATGCTCACATAGGATGAGATCCAAACATACATGTTATGTAACTGGAAGGCACTCCCAACTCATATAGTGGAAGGTTGGTTTTTCCCCTGTTAGAGGCCAGTTGTACCCTATGGAGTGCTGTTCTGACCATACATAGGGTCTTTCCAAACGTCTGGAGCCCTCCTGTAGAAACGGTAAAGTTAAAACATGCTATATTAATTCAGGGGTCACCGTTTCCTCTAATTATAACATATGGATGTAGCACTGAAAATAGACCACATTTTTGTGCCTCTTTTTGTTTAAAAGCACTTAACAGAAAATATAATTTGTGAACGGGAAAAATGTATTATTTTATAATATGGTTGAAACTGTATTTAATTACACAGCATTCTACATATATATTAGACAACTACCTGTCACCCTTTTTTGTTTCGTTTTTAGATATAGCTCCAATGACTTGATAAAGCTTTTAAATAATTAATGCACATTTCACATCTTGAATCATCTAATCAGATTTTTTAAAAAACCTTTGAAGGTATGAGGGATAAATCTACCTATTACAGCTTTAAAGAAACTGTAACAGCTAACTTTGCCACAGCCACATTCTTCAATCTTGTAGTAATTAGTAATATTCCCGTCCTGCTAAATCTAGTTATATCAAGAAAGAGCATGTAGTCATAACTTTTCTGCTTTGTCTCATTCTAATAATACTGGAATTACATTGCAAATCTACTGATAACTGCAGAAAATGGATCATGATGTTGATCACTTTTCTGCATGAGTTAGCCCTTTGTACAAGATTTTCTGTTTTTCTTCCTACAGGAATATCTAGTGTCCGTACTATGGTATTTTCCTCCCATTCTAAAATACAACTGTCACAAGTTACTTATTCCTACATAAAAGCCTTCACCATCCTCCTCCCCTCCGATAGTAATTAGCTACTCAGATCTAAAACTGGAAAAGAGGAATGTCTCAACTCAGTCTGGAAGATACAGTTTAAAATGGAGATGTGAGTGGAAGTTAGGAGGACTCAAAAGAGAAAGTGTATAGTCAGAAAAATAAAGATGACATTAAATGCATTGAACTGCAAAAGTGAAAAACTTCTCTATTCTGTCATAGAAGGGTATTTATAATGTGTAAGAGCATAAAATATTATTCCACAAGAAGTAAAGGTTTGCCACGGAGGCCAGAGTTCTACTAAACACAGTCATGCATCTTTTCATCCTGTCCAATGATAGAATCAAATATGCCTATTCTTGTAGTCTTTTCTTTATTTCTTCTGGATTTTCATTTTATTCAGATATGTAAAGAACCCAGTCCAGGTTTAGTCACAATTAGAAGTCTTTTAATGTCTACTGTATACTGTTCCTGAAAATGGATGTGGTCATGAAAAGGTATTTTGACTTTCTTTACTGAAGTTAAATTGTTAGGCATCCCTGTTTTGGGGTCCTGGCCTCTCCCTCTGTAAAAGATAGGAGGCTTCTCACAAGAAGTGAGAAAATGTGAACTTTCATAATGTGGTTGTTTGCGACGGTATTGTACAGTAATTTCTGCTGTGTTTATGAACCCTTCTCCCCACCTATCATTAGTAAGTCCGCAATAAAACAGTTTTATCTAAGACAAAGCAAAGCTTTGGATGTAGAATCTATTTTATTACATTTTAAATGTCAATTAAAGTGGAGCATGGCAATTGTAATTTCATCTGTACTGTTATTCTGCTTTTAAACTAAACTCTCACATTCTGTCATCCTGCCACTTTATCTATATTTCTTTTTCCCCAACCAACCTTTAAGACTTTCCTTTCTCATCCTACATTCTTTTGCCTGTCTGGTTTCCAAGCCTTTAACATTTGTTTCCCATGACTTTCTAGCTGCTCCTCATCTGCCTTCCTAGGAATTTATATTCTGCTATACTTCCATCAAATAGAGTACTGACAGCCATGTTCAGCCCACTCCAATTCCATTTTATCCACCCAAATAGTTCAGAAAAAGGAGCACAACCACCACTTGCTCTGCATAGTTGCACAATTTTATGAAAATATCAAATGTCCATTTTGTTCAGTTTTTTTCATCTGTATTTTAGAAATATAAGAGAATTTTATGTTGATATATTGCCTACCGGGGAAGTTATTTAATCCATACATTTTAAAATGGAGAAATAGGAGTACCATCCTTGCTTCTGTTTTTAAGATGAGGGAAATATTTAAAATATAACAGCTTGAAGCAAACCTCTTTTTGGCTATAGATTTTTAAAACTGTCATTTAGTGATCTGCCTTTTTTACTCTGTAAATGACAGAAATGTTAGAGAGTATGTGTGAATTATACATACACCACCTATGTACATTGTAATTTAAAGTATAGATGGATCTGCATCTAGCAATTCTGAGCTTTAATTAGACTTTCAGGTTCTTCTTCAGTGAGACCTGCCACAGTAATAAAATGATGTGCATTTTCGCCACAGATTTTACATACGCCAGCAGAAGTCAGATTGTAAGTAAATTGTTGCTGCTAATTAAGGAGGAGGCTCTAATAATATTTAATGTCCACCACACACAGGAATGGTACATGATAACGAATATAAGCATTGATTTTTAATTAGCTGAAACTGGCTGCTATGATTTACATAGTTTGACTTAACACTGAGTGCACAAGTAATAGGATCCTGACCAGTGTGTAATTAGGAAGAATATTAAACACTGTTAATTGCTGAAGGAAACAGAGTTTATCTGTAACATTTTAAAATTAATAAAATTGAGTATTTAATTTTTAGGGAAGTATATAATTACTGGATAAGTAATGATAGTATTAGACTAAGTGATAATGGTTTTAAGTAGAAGACCAGTATTTTCGTGGACTGAAATTGATCCTTCTAATAATCACTATAGTTTAAATATCACTATGGTTTAAATATGCCCATTAAGTTATGTGAAGTTGGATTTTGCCTGTGAAGGCTTTTTAATCAGAGATCCTGTCTGTACGTAGTTTCAGGTTTAATCTTATAATAAAGTTGTCCCACACTGATAATCCCTTGTGGACATTTTTTTAAATTTTTGTGATTGCTAACTGCATTTTACATATTAGCAATTGCGCACTTGGAAGGGCACTTTATGACCTTCAAAATTTATTTTCTGTTTGTAAAAAAAAAAAAAAATTAATACCAGTAATTGAAACTAACAAGGTGGCACAAGATGACTTCAGAATGGACCTTCTGCAATTTCTGACTTTTGCACCTTTCAAATATGTTAACATTTAGTATCACCCAAGTTTGACTTTTCTTTTGATCTGTTTCAGTTCCTAGTTAAACAGACTTTTTGAAATTATCCTGAGACTACATATAGAGAATTTCTTCTAGAAATTATCAGAAAATGTTTGAATCATAGGCGTTCTTAGGTTACTGGTTCTCCATCCAATCACATTTCCTTTTACTGTATTTCATCTAGTAGGATGTTAATGTCTATTTTGAAACTTCTTTTTGTAGGAAAAAAGATTACATGTGTATAAAGCATCTGGTGAAATCATTGTTAACTGTACTTTCTCTGCGATGTGGATATTCACATCTAGCAGTTCAGTATTTTGGCCATATTTAAAAAACAAAGTGTGTACATGAATTCTATTCTTGGACAAAAATAAAAATGCCTAGGCTTTTCCTGTTACAGTTGGGCTGTGTTTGTTTTATATCATTGCTATTGCTAAAACAGCATACAAAAGTAAAAGCACATTCAATTTATAATGAAATTGTATTAATTTATTTGGTTTATTTGTTTGAATGAGTTGACATGACTTAAAGAAATACCCCAAACTATATTATTCCATTTTAGACATTATCCACGGTTAATAGATTGTTGGCTTATTTTAAATTAAGACTAAATTTATTGATATTTTGAGTGTCTTTTTACTCCCTCCCTCAAGTTTCCTTTACCCACTGCAAAACTGTTACACCAACTGGATGATTAGTCATGCAGCCAAGAGATGTTATATGAGAATAAAGAGACACAGAATGTTCATAGGTCACTTTATTTCATTGGTGTTATTGGCCAGAATCCTGCTGGAAATTTATGCAAGTCTAAGTGTAATTGCTTAAGGGGCAGTGGCAAATAGCCACTCTTTTAACTTTTAACTCTCTCTTAACTTTTTAGTCATGCACCAGGAATGCCAATGGCAACTTGTTATTAGCAGCAATTTGGTTCTCCAATTAATGCAGTGGCACAAGCATAAATCTGAATCTGAAGTGCTGAAGTTTCTTTGATGGATTCATTTTGTGGTCTTGGAGGAAGTTGCTTTCTGTCAGGGATATCAGTGACAGATCTCATAGAGTTTTGCTTTGAAAATAGCAAATTTGGAACATTCTTAATTTAGCATTAATACCTGGGTTCTAGATTCCACAGTTGAACAAGTAGCACAATTTCTTGTCTCCTGACATAAGAAGCACGTGCAGGTTAAATGGAAGAGCAGTGTGAGTTTAGTATGTTAATTCCTTGTTATGACTGTGCAAATTGAACATGTCACTATTCATTAGGAGATCTGATTTGCATTGCTGTATACGTATCTCAAACTAGCTAAAGAGTACTGACATGAGAATGGGGAAGAATAGCTGGTATCATTAAGGACAGCAAAATGGCAAAAGTTTGTTCATATGAACAAATCTGCAAATCATGTGTTGTGCATAGATGTTTTGCCGTAGTACTTCAAGAGAATAAAAAGGAAATGACCAGGACTTTGTAGTGTGAATATCTATTTGAACCACACTACAGAAGCACACTGTATGAAATACCTTTGCATTTTTATTTGTTGCATTTTGTGGCTGATGTTTTCTATTGACTGCCTTTCTCCAAGAGCCTAGGTGGAAGGCAGGTGATCTGCTTAAATAACTTACAAGAATCTAGGTACTCCATCTCCCATACATATTTTTTTACCTCTATAAAGGAAAGAGGTTTTCACAGTTCCAAAGGAAGACATGTCAGCTCGTGTAGCAAGAATTAAAAGGTACATGCAGTCATTTCATGCAGTCACTTCATTTGTAGAGGGATTAATCTGAACACATCTTCACTACCATACAAGTGTAAAATGAGTGTTCTAATCTCTAGGTTCAACTAAACCTTTTAAATCCAGATTATACATACTGAGTTTGGAAGAGTTAAGCAAAACTATTAATGATAAAACATTTGGGAGATCATTCATTCATAGGATTGCCATACACTGAAGATAACTTGATGACATGTAACAGCATCATTATTTTTATTTGTTCAAAATACACATTATTAATAGGTTTTATTCATAGTAGTTTTCAATCCAGGCACTGACTGGTGGAGATCGGTGTTGGTTGCTACATCATCATAAATTCAGACCACACTCCAAACTGAAGACACCAGTGTAATCCATATTAAAAGATAAGTTGCCCACCCTTGTAGATCATCTAAATCATTAGAAATTACAAATGTTTGTGATTCAACAGTTGAGTGGCTTCTTGGAGCTGTTGAATGCCATTTAAAGGTGCCATTATTAATTTTCACATTTAGATATATTTTCTCATTTCTTCTCCACCCTACGATCTAAGGACATGACTTAAAAGACTGGTTCTTCTTTGTGGCCTCTGTGAATCACACTATGGGTAATCCACGCATGCGCAGAACCTCAGAATATTCTAGAGCTTCTGCAGTGGCAAAAAGATACATTAGAACAGACCCCTCCCCCTGGTATATGTACCTTAGCACCAAGGCTCTCCCTTCAGTTTCTTTCTTGAGAGCCCCGGTCATTGTTTCTGTGAGAAATCTGAAAACCAAATAAGGAAAGTTATTGAACTTTATTTATTATTATTATCCTTATTATTTTCAAAAGATATGTCCTCCCCTCCCACCTTTCTGTTTTTTTCTTTTCTAAACCAATTCTTAACAAGATCCCGCTCTCTAACGGCCATGCTAAATGCCTTTTTTGCCTCGATGAGGCCATCAAACTTCCCCTCACTGCAAAAACTTTAAATGCGGAGTTCTTCGCAGTCGCCCCTCTAGACTCAAGCTTCGGCTCTGGGAGCAATCTCTAAAGCCATGGACGAAGCTGTTTCTGAAGCGAAAAAACAGTGCCCGTTAGCTACTCCATCTTGTTCTGATCATCGGCAACCTACTCTGCCCTCGATATCGACAGTCACGCGAGTACACAAAGCCAAACATTCGATGTCAAACCCTCGACATTGAAAACAGCCTCTAAGGGAAAACCGTCCATGAATCTCAAGCCCAGGAATGGGAGCTAGATCAATCTGTTTTTCTCTCCCTCTGCAAATGATGGAGCACATCCACCATCAACCTCTTTGTCTCCCGGGTAAACCAGAAATGCAAGCGTTCCTGCTCCTGCACAGGAGTGAGAACTCCTGCAGAGATGCATTCATCGGCCTTTGGCCCAAGTCACTCATTTACCTGTTTCTACCATTCCCACTCCTCCACAAAGTTGTACTCCG